GGAGGGAGACGCGAGATACGGCTGATACTTGACGATCTGGTGGAGAAAGGTTGTGGAGCCTCCGTTGATATGCCGTTGTAAATGGCTTGATGGAAAGCAGGTGTGTAGTCGGGGAGGGTGCACAGCTGATTGCAGCAGGTGAGTGGAGGTTGAGCCGGGAGCCAGGAGTGACAGCCACCACGCACACACAAACAACACAGACAGGGGGAAACAAACAAACACAAAGGAGACGGCTGGAGCAGTACAGCCACCACAGCGTTACCTAATGCAACTCCACACTACGTCTTACGGTGCCGTGTACCGGAGGGGAGAGAGAGAGAGCAGCGAAGGGGGGGGAGAGAGAAGTAATACGGTTTCCTGATAAAGCTGTGGAGAGTATGTGCCGCAGGGAGGTGGATGCACAACGCACCCAGGAACGAACGCTAGCTCCGGTCCCTCATTTTTTACTGTGGACTCGATGTCCTGACAGGCTGGTATTTGTGCAACCTGCACAAACACAATACTGCACCATGATTACAAATGGTGAAATACAATGTAAAACTACCGAACCGCTCAACTCAACGCAACTACTAACTATACCCGCGGTCAGAGAGCGGAGATGTGTCCCCTGTGTGATGTAATATGACGCGTTTGACGTATGACCTTAAAAAAAAGGTTTTAAAAGCAGAGCTCAAAATTGCTCCTTTCCCTCTGAATTCCTGCCCTTATGTCTCGTAAAACATATCAAATCCTACATTCACTTTTTTAATTGTAATTTTCAAGCAAGTTTAAGCATAAATGTAGAAAAAAAAAAACCTGGAAGATGCTCTTTAAATCAAGTTAAACCTGCAATGAGTAACATTTCTGGCCACTAGGGGGAAGCAGAAACCAGTTTCTATCACACCTATGACCTCCAAGATAGGTTGATATTGTGAATATGATTGCGAACAAATGACTTATTTACATATCTAGCACACAGAGCAACATGATTAATCATTAGGAGACTTCTTGTTGTGTCCACCTGATGAATATGAGTCCAGTATATCCACCAGCTCCTAAAGGGCTAAACATAGAATCTCACCAATTTCCCCAAATATTTTTCTTCTGGTGTAAACTGACCTGAGTCTGGCCTCGAGCAGAGAGTCTGCAGAGCTCATCCCCGACAGAGACCACGGTGCGTTCAGGGTTCTGCTCTGAGTCAGGAAACTCTCCAACTCGTCTTCATCCCTACGGTCACATCACAACACAGGACAAAAATTAAGCTCTTTTTTTCACCAGAAGAAACTAAAAAGGATGGAGTCATGGAGAACAAGTAAAGACAAATGTAGACTATTTTTTAAATCAAGCTGACAGTGTTCAAATTAATTTTCTGTGTTTAGTTTATATAGAAAACATCAAATAAAGGTGGAGTGTGTTATCGTAACGAAGGGGAACAATGGAGGGTTTTCTTTGGTTCATTTTTGTAGCTTTTCAGCAGCGTGTGTGAGAGTTTTTCAGGTGAACGTACCTGACAGGAAGTGATGTGGCAAAGTGAAGGAGGGCCAACAGCAGGAACAACTGAGTCACACTGATGGACGGCATCATGAGGACGATGAAGATGAGGATGATGATGATTTCCTGAGGAGACAAAACAAATGTTCAAACCTCTAAACTGAAAAACACATCCTTTTGGTTTGGCTGTATGTGCCCTGGAGATGTGTTGTACTGCAGCATTGAAATATATTTTAGAAAAAAGGTTGTCCCTGTTTGGTTTGGGAAAAGCTCTCTTTCTTGAAATCATAGCGTGGTTACTCAAGATAATCCACATTTTGTTGTGAGCATTTTCATGTATAGGAACTAGTCTCTTTCTTCTATACTGTATGTTATGCTATAATAATTCTACTCCACCTTTGTTTAGCACTAGATACTTCAATTTAGTTTCAGATTTTCAGCAATACGAAATGTCTTAAAAAAACATTGACATACAACGTTAGGATATCCAGCTGCAGTGTGTAAAGTCATTGAAATGAGCTCCACCTTAACCAGCTGTGATGAACATATAAATGCATCAATGAATATAATAAAAGCATTTAATATGAGATTCTGAAATGGGCCATTATGCTTAACGAGTACCTATATTTTAATGCTAATACTTTTTAACTTGTACTTAAGTTAGATTTTGAATGCAGGACTTTTACTCAAGCATTTTTAGAATTTTCCAATCGCATAAATTTGGGTTAAGTATGGCTTCATTAATTTCGGTTTAATGTTAGGGACCTTATTCTACAGCTTCGATTATCACTATTGACTGTACCATTTCACATAATGTATCTCCATCCTGTACTTGTATTGTTAAATGTTTGCAAATACAACACATTGAGTTGCCTTTAAGGATGACACTTCCTTCAGTCAAACGGACAGTAGAAACACTTTGAGACATAAACAAGGATAAGAGGATTACAATCCAATAAAAAAAAAACTTTATGCTTCTGAATTCATCCTGAGTTTTGTTTCAGGTCGCTACAGGAAAGAAACAACAGATCAAACCAATGAACGCTTTTAAAATAAGTGTTAAGTTGTGCAGAGACTCACCTGGATGGATCCTGCTCAGAGAGACCAGTAGACTGGACGTTTGGGTCCGAGTCGCCTCCTTTTGTACCGGCTCGGGTATCGAACCTGCGACAGACTTCCCTCTCATTTTACTGCTTCGATTATTTACCGTGTCCACACATCGAGTCAAAGACCTGACTTCCCTGTTTGTTCGCTCCCTGAAATCTTAATGAAATTATTGGGTCTGACTTCCTTAATGAGCTCTAATCACCTGTGAGGGCCGCCTGCTGTTTGCTCACATTAAATAATTATCACGTCCATGCAGAGAATTGATCCACAAACACACTTTTCTATATTTTTACTACTCGGATGTCGGCTTCTGTTTGCTCTGATTACAAATGTTGGGAAGTGACACAATTTAATAACGTCACATGTGGGTCACAAAGGCCCATTTTAAATTAAATGTACTTTTATTTGTGATATTTTGATGTACTTTTATTTGTGATGCTTTAAAGATATTTGGCTGATAAAATGTGGGCTTACAGTAAGTAGGAATTTGACTTCAGGACTCATTTTCTTATATTGTTGAATCAGTACTTTCTTAATTATTCTACTAAAATCAGAACAATCTTTAAAAGCCAGAATGATAAATGTTCTTTAGCTCCAGTCTAAATTTCTAAAACAAACTAAAAACCTAACTACTATCAAACTTCTGCTGGACTACCGAAGACAAAATAGACAAATAGAGAACATTATCTGCAGATGAATCAACAAAACATACTGCAGATTAATAAAAATAAATCTTAAAAACAAAGACTTTATCAGCTAAGGTGTTTTATTGTAAAATAAAAAGAAAGTTGAAAGTTTCAACAAATATATCCAGCGGGAAAAAAGTTTGAAAAAATCTGCAAAAGGCTGCAGTGGTGAGAAATCATTACGGTCTAAAAGCCTTTGCAGACCGTTTACATGCCCTAAAACCTAAATAACACACTACAGGAAAGAGAAAACCCTTAAAAGCATAATAGGAGCACTTTAACCCTCCTGTTGTCTTCGGGTCAAATCTGACCGATTTACTACTTTCATCAATCATACATTTTTTGTTTTACATTCAATTGCATTAATATAAGGCTTTATGATATCCTTCACAGTAGACATTTGAACATATCAAATTGCTGATCACCAGAAAAAAAAATTTTCGGATTTAATTTCGTATTAACACCATATCCCTACATGCATTGAGGCTAAAACATCCAATCAGCGAGCTTAAACCATAGCTGAGGATCTTGGGTAATCAGTTCAGTGCTGTGTATCGCAATGATGCTCGAAATGTCCCTTATAGGCCTACGTCTGTTTTCGGTTATTCTTATTTTGAAATTCAGTTCCTGACGGACGCCAAAAAAGCCAGAGATTATGGAATCAAACAAATAAATAAAAACAAGGATAATTGTGTGTTATTGGTGATTAAATAACAGTGTGTTATTTAGAAAAGAATAACAAATTAGAAGGAAAAAAAGAAAATACAGATTTCAGTATTCTGAGGCTCTGAGCCCCATTTCTTTTCCTCACAGACGACAAAAAAAGGTCCGACATTATACGATTTAAAATAAAAACAATAATCGGAGACCCTGGAAAGAGTCCTGTATGGGGACCCTGGAAAGAG